CAATACTCTGATGAGGACAATTTACTCAAAAAAAGTTACTTGCATTCATGGAATTTCACATATTCACCAAGAAGACTGGAAAGCTCAGATTCCACTGAATGCAACACACAGCCCAAGTAACATTAAGTACATCCCCTATCACTTCATTGAAGGAACCTTATGCATATAAACTCAATGCAATCCGACCTGCTCCACCACAGTCAAGACTTGGCTCTTGCAATTTGCACATTCTAGATGTGGACGAAGAATATAATTTTAAAATACTGGCCGACATTAGTGGTGATTATTATGTGTTATGTGACACATAAATGTATTCATAAAAAAATAAAACATTAGATTCTGGTTTATTAAAAAAATATATGATCTGTAACAATCAGCTTGTTATTGAAACCATTCTATACTCTTGCTTGGCTTGATGGAATCAACAGTCTTGTCGGTGATGTTAGTTGAAGAATTTCATATGAACAGTACAGTGTCCAACACTGTCTTGGCCTTTAATGCATAATTTAGATGCTGGCCATTTCTCAGAATGGTATCCTTGATATCAGTGGAAGTTTTGTTGTAAAGCATCCAGGTATAGCCACTGCAGATACATATTTTCATGTTTATTTTCTTTTTTTTTCTTCTTCATCTTACACATCTCTAGTTCCTGTTAGGCTTTCAATCTCCTGGAGTTTGTTATATCATTATCTACCAGCGATGTGTCAAGAGATGAATCACTCATAGGTTTTTTCCCCTTTCCTGTGACATATAGACCTGAAGACAACATGAGGTAATTTGGGGTGATAATGTTCTACTACAGGTGCATCTAAAAAAAATGTAAGTTTACTCAAGTATCTTAAAATGTATGAGCGTTTTAGAATAAAGAAATTATAACACGGAAAAGTCAACCTGAGAAGAGCTCTAATCAGCTAATTAACTCTAAACACCTGCAAAGATTTCCAGAGCCTTTAATCTCTCAGTCTGGTTTAACTTTTCCACAATATTTGATTTTTTTTTTTTTAGATGCACCTGTATATTAATATAAACAAGCCATCTCGCTGATGAGTACCACAACATGTTTGATATAGCTGCTTCTCAGAAAACCACAGAATATTTTCCTCAGTTTTGTTTAGAAATTATTAATTTACATAGCTTCTTGTAACCTTATTTCAAGTCAGTATGCAAATGAAATAGCACTCTATCAGACAGTTTTATGTGACTTAATGTAAATCCCCTTCCAGCAGTTGACTTGCCATGCATGAACTTGGAGAGGGCTACTTACACTGTTGCTATATGTGCCACATTTGTATATACTATGACTTTATGTTTTGAATCTATTCTGTACGCATGATATCTATTGCATGTCTGTCTGTTCTGGCAGAGGGATCCCTCCTCTGTTGCTCTCCTGAGGTTTCTTCCATTTTTTTCCCTGTTAAGGTTTTTTTTTGGGGGGGGGGTTTAGATGAATTCAATGAATTGATGTTTGGTTTGGCTCTACACAAGCTCTCGATCACGCTAATGAACCTGTGCAAGGCACAGGCATTGATTTACATGCAGCAGGTATTTCTATCCAGCCTCTGCTCACATATCACTGTCATGTGTGCCCTGCTTCCTCCCAAGAGCAGTTTAGTTGGACATCTGTGCAGAACGATGCATTTAAGAGAGAAAGCAACCGGCAGAGATGGGCAGTAAATCAAGTCATTGTATTTAAAATATGTATTAAATTATTATTTTGCTGGGCATAAAATTATACTAAAATATACTAAAAATATACACTATATTCCAAAATGTTTTGGGACACCTGCCTTTACATGCACATGAAGGTTAATGATCCCATTATTAAGTCGTAGTGATTAATATGAAGTTGGCACACCCTTTGCAGATATAACAGCTTCAACTGTTCTGGGAAGGCTGTCCAAAAGGCTTAGGAGTGTGTTCATGGGAATTTTTGACTAACGCATTTGTGAAGTCAGGCACAAGTGTTGGACGAGAAGACCTGGTTCGCAGTCTCCACTCTAATTAATCCCAAAGGTGTTCTATCGGGTTGAGGTGCAGGCCAGTCAAGTTTTCACCAAACTCGCCCATCCATATCTACATGGACCTTGCTTTGTTCACTAGTGCGCAGTCATGTTGGAACAGGAAAGGCCCATCCCCAAACTATTTCCAAGTTGGGTGTATTAAATTGATCAAAATATCTTGGTAAGCATTAACAGTTCCTTTCACTGGAACTAAGGGGCCAAGCCCAACCCCTGAAAAACACCCCCACACCAAAATCCCCCCTCCACAAAACTTTACACTTGGCACAATGCAGTCAGGCAAGTACCGTTTTCCTGGCAACCACCAAACCCAGACTCGTCCATCAGATTACCAGACAGAAAAGCGTGATTCATCACTCCAGAGAACATGTCTCCACTGCTCTGGTGGTGTCCAGTGGCGGTGTACTTTACACCACTGCATCCGACCCTTTGCATTGCACTTGGTGATGAACCCATTCCATGAAGCTCTCTACGGACTGTTCTTGAGCTAATACGAAGTCACCGACGTTTAGAGGTTTGTATTGACTATTGACTCTGCCGAAAGTTGGTGACTTCTGCGCTCTGTGCACCTCAGCATTGGCTGACCCCACTCTGTGATTTTATGTGGCCTACCACTTTGTTGCTGAGTTTCTGTTGTTTCCAGTCACTTCCACTTTGTCATAATACCACTAACAGTTGACTTAGAATATTTAGTAGTAGTAGAAATTTCAAAAATGGATTTATTGCACAGGTGGCAACCTATCACGGTACCATGCTTGAATTCACTGAGCTACTGAGAGCGACCCATTCTTTCACAAATGTTTGTAGAAGCAGTCAATACTTTAAGAGCTTGTATTTGTGCTCTCACAAGGCCGCTATATCAACCTTAATGACAGCAAATCTAATCAAAGGCCATTACTGGCTAGTAATGGTAAATACATATTTTTATACTATAGAGAATATTACAGATGAAAAACATCACTTCTGACAAACTGTACCCCACTCTCCCTTAAATACCAGTCCTGTTCTGAATAATGGAATTATACGTGACTTTTGTTTTGATATCAGATTTACATATCTGTCATCAGCCGCCCCAGTCTCTGAATAGCATCATCAGCATCGGCCATTGGAAAACCTATATTGGTCAACCACTAATAAAAATTATTATTTAAATGTCACTTCATTTTCAAATAAGGCTTTATTTTTTTATCCCCAGATTCAAACTGAAGGGAAATGTTTACAATAATTAGTCTAATAACAGTCTGCCACAAGATGTGAAGTGAATTACTGTTAATAGATTAGCAGGGACCCAACCAACGGCGTCACCAGGTCATTTTTCGGGTGCTTTAGCCCCGGATGTTTTGACTGTAACCCTGAATGTAACTCAACAACAGCAACCAAAATATTTTGTTAATATGCAATAATCTTCATGACGCAGCCTGTCTTGCAGGTCTTCAAAGAACGGAGGCTACTCGCAATAATTGATACATTTTGTTTGAAGTTCACGTATAATGTGACCGCCCGACAAGAACACTAACGAACCAGCGGTATCGATGACCCGGGCCAACGACCCCACTGAGGTTAAATAGCTGAGTTTCCCTGCCAGTCAGTCAGAACTGAAGAAATCCTTTGGATGAGGGACGAAACGTCTTCCAGTATCTTCAACCAAGTCCAGTTGCCCTTGATTTTAACCTTCGTTGGATAACTATGACCTGGATGACTGAGAATCTTCATAGACAACAAGAACAAAAACTACAAAACTGTTGATAGCATCATTGCATTCTGTTGTCTCCACTCCCTCCCCCTCTGCTCAAGCTGTTTCTTGTGTTGTGGGCCAAAAATAAATCTCCAAATGCGTGAAAATAACTGATATATTTGGTACTGGAGCTGCAGTAGCTTCAGCATCAGCTACATAGACTACCCTGCCTATAGTGCAGGCACTTGAAGGAGTAAAGGAGAGCCGTGGCCACTGCCAGGCAGAGGAGGAGGCCTGAGACAGTGAAACAGAGTGACAGGGCTGAGGGACAGAGAGAGAGCAGGAGGAAAGAGGTGAAGTGGTAAGCATGAAGTAGCTCAATCTGTAGGGAGGGAGCAGGGAGCGAGCAGGGAGGGAGGGTAATTTACACTGGGGATGCTGGAGACATGTATCCAGTACTTTTTGAAAGCATTTGTGAAAAATAGCTTGCACCAAAAAATGTTAATTAACAAATAAAAATGTTGAGAAGGCTTTATTTGTAAAATAAGCCTACAATGCAAATATAGAAGAAATCTCTATTAAAAAAAGATTTAAAAAATGTATCATTAAGGTGAAAAGGTGCCATATGCACATTTGAAAAGACCTTAGGCTACTTCAGGCATGCCTGCATTTATGTAGACTCAGCTGGGATCAAATTGCATGAGAAAAGTTGATCTACAGGAGAAACATATCTGACAGCAATACATTATATTACACTAAATTATTATTTTTCAGAGGGAGGACCCCCAGACCCTAGTTAATATTTTCAGTGTTAATTATTATCAGAAAATGAGACAGATGTTAGAGTTACTGTGTAGAGGTCTGTTGCTTTACAGACGTACTTGTGTTAGCGGCAACGGGGGTTGGGGGTGAAAACAGGTGAAAACATGAAAGATTTCTGGGCTGGGCTAAGTCCCCAATGTTTCAAGAGCCTGGAAACGCCCCTGGACCCAACAATTGCAAGTGCATGTTAGTTTAGCTTTATTTATTCTGAAAGTTTCAAGATAAAGATCTCTTTTGTATGACCGTCCTGAGAACAAATTGCATGGATACAAAATCACAACAAGATGAGCCAGTCAAATTGACACCAATTAAAACAATCACAAATATCACTAGACCTGCAAGCATGTACAGTATCAACGGGGTCAAAGCCCCCCAGCGCAAGCCATGCCTGGTGGCCCGTGGAAGCCATACAAGTGGGACCTGCAGTCCCATGGGTGCAATGCAAATCGCAGGTGGAGAGCAGCACAAACACTGGAAAACAGTCATTTCAAAAACAGCAGTTTGGAAAAATTTTAATGAACACACAAGGCACATGAGGCAGCAAGGACGGGCATGGCTGACAATGGCTGAAGGCCGGCAGGCAGACTGAGGAGGTGTAGTGGGTTTGTTGTGGTCTGAGTAATACGACATTGAGTGAAGATTGGCACTGGAGGCAAGGCTCTGAAGAGCAGAGACATAATAAGTACTTACGCAAAGGTACTTAAGAGTACAAAAGACAAAAGTAGTTTTCTGGCCGAGAGAGTACGTTACGACAAGTTGGCAAAAACAAGTGATGAGTGGCATAAGACCAGTGGCCTGTACTACAAAGGGTGTGAAAATCCCAAGGTGCTGATGTTCAGGTTTAATATGACCATAATCACCTCTGATGTGACTGTGAATTTAGGGTGTTCTCACACTAGGCCCGGTTGCCTTGTACCGTGTCTGAGCACGATTGTCCCCCCTCCCAACTCCCCCGCTGGCCTGCGCTCACGCTAGTGCCTAACGATCCAAGCCGAAGCATGTTTACGTCATCACTCAGTCAGTGTTTCCTATACATTGATTTGTTTGTGTCGGCCTGCCACAGTAGGCTATCATTGCCAACTGCCACATATGATAAGTGACTTTTTTTACTAGACCTAGGGCTCTTGCGCTTCTTGCGGGGAGGGGGACCGAAGAGGTGGATGACTCCGCAGCCACCATATAGCTGTCTGAGCCAGAATCAGTGGCCTCCTCATCCTCCATCTCCTGGCTCGGGGCAGCCTCAGTAGATCCTGAGCCATCACCAGAGGCCTCAGCAACCACGCCAGCTGAGTCCATAAGGGTGAGAGCTCAATGGATGGCCTCATGCATGTCACCAAAATATGGCCATGTAGCTGTCAGTCCCCATCCCAGTTGGTGGGCATCTCAACCGCTACAGAAACAAAAGCATGGGTAAAGTTTATTCCACAGTACACTGAGCAGGCATAAATATGGGTTTCACAGACAGACATCAGTGAGCATTTACTTATTTAGTAACCAAACCATATTTTCTTTTGAGGTTGTCCCACTTCTTGGCCACTTGTGTGGGCGTGAAAACATCTTGGAGGTCCATCTTCTGAATAATTTTCCTGAGTGATTCAAGAGATGTTAGTGTCTAATTCCTGTGTCATCAAGTAGTTAAGTTTACAGCCACAGGAGGTGTTAACTGACAAACAGAACTTTGAGTTACGCCTTTCAGGAGACATTACTTGTTGGCACCAATTCATACATGCTTATAGAACATATCTTCACAATACACAAAAATGTCTCAATGACATTAAGACAGCAACATAGAGACATCTCAAGGTTGCAATGAACAGTTATAGATTACAATATCATGCACTACATAGAAATTCAGTCACTCACTCCCTGGCTTTGTTGACTGTGTGCCTTTTTCCAGTTAACAGGTTGTCATTTTCAGATGGTAGCGTGATGAGGTCGAACATCTCATCATCACTCCCTGTGTGAAATGGCAGAGTAAAATTTATCACAAATGTGGCTCGCAAAGTCATTTCAGGACTATACTCTTGGAATGACATGTGCTGACTACATAATGGACACTATCATTACTATGTGACAACATGAAATACAGCAAATTAGTGCTGAAAGAAGAGAATGGTCTGGTTGATTTAACAATTTCACACTGGCAGCTGTTTGCACTTTCAAACATCTTGTCAGGAATTTAGCAGTTGAATTGAGTATAGAATACAGTTAACTATAAAAACACAAGTAATGTGGTTAAAACAGCGCCAAACGGGGAGGGCAGACAGTTTGATCGAGCACAATCTTCAATAAGAGCCCGTTCTCATCTCAGGGCGTCCAATACCGACACTTTCAGAAACAGTGACAAAGCGTAGTTATTGGACGCAAAAAGAACCCTTTAGCGTCTGTGGGAGATGCTCCGGGTGAGTCTCTATGAAACGCTCCCAGATATGTCTGTATGAGACGGTTACAAACCTTAGATTGAAACCCAGGGGGAGGAGGTAAGTACAATTAATAATTTGTTCCAGGGCAGAGGAAAACCAGGAAACATGAGTAAGTTAACAAAATGATGGATTTATTTCCAATATTTAACAAAAAGTCTCTCTAAATGCACAACCAATAGAAAACAACTCCCAGAAGAGAAGCGAGCAACAAGGGTCCTTTTTAAAAAGGGAACTAAGGTATCGGACAAAACACACACAAGCACACATTGCAAACAAAAAAAACACTTAACCGCGGGATTCCCACTGTTGCTAGTGATGGCAGTGCGACACTGAAGATTTGATACACGCTTCAAACCCCTGGACTACAATCCTATTGAACCACTGCTTCAAAGCTTGCTTTGGTGCGAAAACAAAAGTCACGTGACATGTGACGCCCGAAGCAGCAACTGCTTCACTTACTGGATGAATCACCGACTGGTTCGCGGTCCAGTCACGTGATTCACTGGCACTGCCTTGATCGTCTCGAAAGTGAGTGTTGTGCACTCCATCTAACACATTCACCCCCTGTCATAGTTACACAAGCACATCCAACCTATGCCATATTTCCCAGCATTCTCTCCTCAATAACAAAATACATGCATTCATCAATCTTTATTTGAACATGATGTTCAGTCTTAATGTGTGTGCATCAAAGAATTTTCAAAGTAAATATACTTTAAAGCCAAGTGATTCAAGCAAAGATGCTTTATAACTAATGGTATTTTCTACAAAAGTAAAGTAGTTTCTCCAGCACTGCTCATCGAGGGGCCTGCGTGTATGTACTTAAAAGCCTCCTGTCCACCAGCTAGCCTGTCTAATTTGCCTGCAGCCTTGAGCTACGCCAGGAGAGGTCACTGTAACTGAAGCTTCGAGTAATGAACCCATTTTCAAAACAATTGGCTCAGGTGGTTCAGTGCTTCACAAAAGCTTCATTTGCCCATCATTAACTGTTGCCACTGCCAGTTACTGTCTCTGCCAACTGCCACATGCTCACCGCAGACTCCAAACACTCAGTAACACTGTCTCTTTTGTTGTAGACCACCATACTCTCACACAGCAGCTTCCTTCACCAGCCCTTATACTCTCCACTGATTAGGAGATTGGAATCAGCCGCGCTCCTCAGGTTGCTGGCTGCAGCATTGGGGCGGGGCAAGGTCCTGCTGGTGGCGGAGAGGGAAAACACACAAGCACAACATCCCATATACACATCAAAGGCCCATGGGTCGTAACAGAGACGCTCTGGGGCATTTCTAGCTAGCTAGCTACGTTCGTGTCAAAGGTGTTAAAGGTGTTGACAGCCCCCCGAAGCCCCCTACCCTTACCATAACCGTCAGAAATGTTAGTGTCTAAACCTAAGTCACTGACTTTATGCATGTCGATGTGTTGCTGCGACGTAGCAAACGGTGGCATTTCATACGGACGCTGAAGGGCAGATTTAGCATAAAAAAATTATGCTTTGTCAAGCTGTCTAAAAGCGTTGGTAATGACGCATTGAGATGAGAACGCATTCTAATTAATACAACTGAATAGAAAGGAAAGTCCTGCTTCCACCAGAGTTTGTCAAGCTGTGTTCCAGCTGTTTGTCACACCTCTTATATGTTGTGGTTGCCAAAAACTACAAAGGATATACTGGTGTATGCTCGCTTTTAGTTCCTCCAGCAAGCCTCCTCACTTGTTCCTTGCTCCTAAATATTTTTATCAGCTTGACGTTGAGCTAATCTGTGCTCTCTGCATGACAATGTTACACTGGCATTTAGTCAAAATGATACATCAGCATTAGCATGCACGCTCGCCCAGTGCATGATCCAGGTTGTTGATGGGCCAGGTCTTTGTAAAGATGTGGGCACGACAGTCTCTGATTTCCGTTGCTTTGCCAACATGATGACTGTATTTCTGTCATAGGTAACACATTTTTCTGCAATAAAGCAGGAAAAGACAGATGTAAAAACGTGTAGTGAAGTTTGAAGGAGCTACTGGCTGCTGCTTCTACAAGCGCTGCCAGTTGTTATTTTATTTGTACAAGATGGCACCAGGATGTTTGCCAGCTCGCCACAGCCTGTCCTTGTCTTTTTTATTTGTTAGGGTTAGGGTTAGTTTGTTTTATCTATTTAAAATCCGATCGGCTGTGTCTGATTGTTTATTTCGCGATCCCAGAGATGATTGGCATCTGCACTCGCCAGTCGCATTGATGAAAATGTGTTACCTGCCAGGATGTCTGTGCATGTGGAGAAAACAGCGAAGGAGGAGTGGGAAGCGTGCTGGAGTCCTTGGGAGATCGAAGAAGATCGGGAAGTTTCCAGTCATCGGACCTGCTTCTTCAATGGTGGAGGCCGTAAACTCGAGATTTTCATACATTGTGCCTGTCTTTCCGTCTTCGGCGTTGATACCTCAGTCTTCACGGATGGTTTACCGTAAGGCGACAGTCTGCAGATCGAGGAGTTAATCATCGGAATCTTTGCTCTTTACGTAACGGGAGTCCGGTAACATTTTATGATTCCTCTCTGCAATCCTCTTCCGATACCACTCCAGTGACAATGGCGTTGATTAACGTGAGATCTCTGGCAAATAAGACCTTTATTTTGAACTTTTTCTTTCTCATGAAATTGATTTTTTATTTGTTAATGAGACTTGGCTTAATGCTGGTGAAATGACTTCTCTTCTTCCTCTCAACTTTCTCCTCCTGGTTGCAGTTTTTTTTAGTACCCCCTAGGTCTGTTGGCCGTGGCGGGGGTCTTGCAGTTTAAGTTAAGTTTAAGTGTAGACTTTTACCTTCTGCGTCCTCTTGCACTTTTGAATCTCAGTTAATTATGCTGAAATCTTTTAAATCTGTGTTATGATTTATATGATTTTGATTTATAGACCCCCAAATTTTCATGGGGATTTTATACAGGAGTTTTCTGAATTCTTATCTGGTATTGTCCCTTCTTTTGACAATATTTTGATTTTGGGGGATTTTAATATACATGTGTGTTGCCCTTCAAAGCCCTTGGTCAAAGAATTTTTAAATTTATTAGAGTCATTTGATTTTTTACAATGCGTTTCGGGTCCAACTCATGAATGTGGTCATACGCTTGACCTTGTATTATCTCTGGGATTCTCTGTTGATAGTGTGAAGATTGTGAATACTGTTTTTTCTGATCACAAGACTGTTATTTTAAATTCTAACTTTCATACTTTCTAACTTTCATACTTTCTAACTTTCATCTCGCATACTCAATCCATGTACAGCTAGTAGTTTTTCAACTGCTTTTAATACTTTTTCATTGTCGAGTCGCACTCTCCCTGTATGGGTTTAGAAGAGTTGGTCAGTTTAACTCTTCTTGTTTAGAGATTTTAGATGTTGTGGCTCCTGTCAAAGTCAGGGGGAAAAAAGTCAAATCGCAGCCCTGGTTGAACAGTACTACCCGTGCTCTTAGACAGGAGTGTAGGAGGGCTGAACGAAAATGGGTTAAAGATAAATTACAAGTCAATTACCTTTTATTCCTAAAATATTGGAAAACATTGTAAATGTACAGCTTAATGACTTCTTAATGAGGAATAAGATTTCGATAGATTCCAGTCAGGTTTTAGAGCTGGTCATAGTACAGAATCTGCTCTTTTGAAGGTCTCTAGTGATATCCTACGAGGTGTTGATTCTGGAAACCGTGTTGTTTTGCTTTTGTTAGATCTTACAGCGGCATTTGATACAGTTGATCATAACATTCTCATTGATCGTCTTAGGGATCAGGTTGGTATTCAGGGCTTAGCCCTGAAATGGTTCTCTTCCTATTTGAAGGATAGGACTTTTTCAGTCAGTTTAGGGGATTATTTTTCTTCCGTTACCCCTCTTGTGTATGGGGTTCCACAGGGCTCTATGCTGGGACCAATTTTATTTTCCCTTTATATGCTCCCTCTAGGTTAGATTTTTGAGAAATTTGGGATTCAGTATCATTTGTATGCGGATGATTCCCAAATTTACTTAGCATTGAAACATGGGCATAAATGTGCCATTCAGTCTCTTCATGCATGTTTGGCCGAAGTTAAGTGTTGGCTTGCGAATAACTTTCTCCAATTAAATGAGGATAAGACCGAGATGATTTTATTTGGAAATAAGCGGTGTGTGGATGATGACTGCCTGGGGTTGTTTTCTGGGAAAAAACTGTCTAGCGTGAGGAACCTTGGTGTCATTTTTGACTGTGAGCTTAAATTTGACCGGCAAATCAATGCTGTCCTTAAGAATAGTTTCTTCCATCTCAGATCAATATCTAAACTAAAATCTATCCTTTCTTTTGACAATATAGAGAAGGTTGTTCATGCCTTTGTGTCATCCCTTTTGGATTATTGTAATGTGCTTTATCTGGGTGTGAGTCAGGCTTCTCTCTCCCGTTTGCAGCTGGTTCAGAACTCTTAACGGGTACTAAGAAGAGAGAGCACATTACTCCGGTGTTAATTAAATTACATTGGTTACCCATACGATACAGAATTCAATACAAAGTGTTGTTGTATGTTTT